TTTGTTTAACAGGTATATCGTATTCATAACAATACGTCATAGTTAATGGATTTTCAAAAAGTCAAATAATTATATTAAATAAAATATATTCCAGTGGGTAAAAAAAACACAATGCTATTATGATAATAAGGTTTTTTTGTTCGATTAATACTAGTTTACAATAAGATTACTTTACCATTTCCTTACGAAATAATGTAATAATACGTGTATGTTCACAATGTACAATATGTAAGTTTCTCTTAGATTTAAATTCTGAAACAGTCCGCCGGGCCGCCGGCCACAAGGGCACTTTATATAACGCTGGTAGAGTAATAAGAGGAAATAATCGAGAGTCAGCCAATGGATACCTTAATTTCTATCCAATTATGGATAATTGTAACACTTCACACGTCATTCGATACACAAAATCACTCAATTTGTCATTTTACTATCAAATTTTTTATGCAGTTCCATACTTATTTAGATCTTAACTTATTTGCATTGAAACAATGTCCGTAAATTATCCAATAAGTTAAGTCCTTTAACTTTATTAAAAATGCTGATAGTATCAATGACAGTTCCAATTGTTTTATAGATAACGTAACATATTGATAACATTTAGATATATGGATTTGAAGTTGTTAGAATAAAACGTGGATGTCAATTGAAACATAATATTTGCATGCTGATAAAAAAATGTCAATAAGATTACGATAGTATTAATATTGATGTACACTAAATACCCAATATGTACATTCATGTACAAATCGTTTATTGTTCTATACAAGAAGATGATATAGTGGTTCGTACCCAAATAATGAGATAAAGGCAAGGAAATTACTAACTTTATAATAATTGGTGTTGTAAATGTTGTTATACTGATTAAATATTTGTGTACAATATAATAAATGTTACCAGTGCGTACGTTAACTATAGAGAAAAATGTAGTACCTATAAAAGAACGTATATAAACTAAAAATAAATACTAATCATAAACTAATACGAGTAAGTATAATATTTTAGGCAGTGTTGAATGCTTTTCTTAGGACAATAATTTTATTTTTCCTAAATCAGATTTAAAGACGTTCCATCAATATTAAAAGTTATGATATCGATTTCACAACACAATATCTCTACAATATTTGGATAAATAAATTAATTTAAAACTAGATATAAAAATCAGAGACATGTCACATATTTTTATTAATTCGATCACATTATAAGAGTAATGGGTAGTAAAATATAAAGAATTTTATATAATGTTTTAAGTTCCATTTGTACAAACCTGAACATAGTTGCGCAAATAAATCTCCACCAAATATTTTGAAATCTTAAATTCCATAGAATGTATTCCACTATTACCATTATAAAACATTATTTCTTGTAAATGATAATAATTATTCTATATTCTTATGACTTCTGAGATAATATGCGTATTGAGATTGTTAAGACACACGGTAAGTAATATTTTGGTAGAAAACTCGTTTAAGCAAAACTATATCACTAACCATTTGAAGTGATATTTCAGTGTACTCTGAAAAATATATAATGACAAATTGATGTATAAATTCTATAGCATACCATTTATGCAGAATTTATTTTCTACTACATAAATGACCAATTAATATAATAAACTACAAATGCGTCAATTAAATTTGGTATTTAATGTTTAACAACGCAATTGTCTCCATTAAAATTCACAGCCTCACTGCGTTATTGCACTTCTACTTTGTAGCTTTAGACTTGGTTAACCAACTAGTAGTTGGAGGTTTTTCGTTACAGAACTACGCTAAAACAGCCGCCGTATTAGTGAATTGTTTATATATTGAGTATTATATTTAAAATAACTTTTGAGTATTGTTTCTCCTAAATGAAAATATTGAAAGTAGGTACCTTATAAGTTTAACCGTTGAATAATTTCTTCTAAAATTATATAAGACGAAGAAATAGAAGTACGTTTTATTTTTTATTCTGTTAAATAAATTTTGTGCTGAACTTCATAAGTATTATACGAAGATTATCTCTAATCGTCAATTCGATTATTCTAAACAACAGCGGCAGTATTCGTCATGTATATGGTATACGAGTATAAATATATAAATTATGGAAAATAAAATTGATAATCCCTTTCACATTTCATGTGCGTTTAATAGAAGAAATCATATATTAAAATAAAGAAAAAATGAGATTTCTTTGTGCAACTTCACAACGAATAATTTCAAATCGTATAGTTAATACATTATTGCAAACCAATATATGAGCAAACTTATACGACTACAATGCCGATATATAAAAATAAATGTGCAACAATTGTAAAGGTGTTTAGATATTTTCATCATTTTGAATTTGTATATAGCTACTTACAGAAACTTTTACAATATATCTATCTACAAATGGATTTGTGTCGGGTTTGTATAAAATTGTCATTTACAACATTCGATTCTCGATTAGCGTTCCCCTTAAAAAAACTGTTCATTACACCATCATTTAGATCACCACCGTTTTCGCTTTACTAAAATTTATTAGGTATATATACATTTTAAAGGAAATTACACAATCCATTACTAGTTTCAATCATAACATTGCATATGGGGGAGACAGTCACATCATCCTAAACAGTATCAGTATTAAAATAAATATCCCTAAATTTACATCGTTTTTAAATATTCACTAGCATATATTTATAAAATAATATGTAAATCTACGCAGACTTCATGATTAACTATATAAAATCCGAGCAGAAATATAATACTCAGTATGTAATTTATATGTATAATGTTAATTTAATTATTCATTAAATTAAATTTTGCTGAATATCATTAAATAAGTTTAATTCAGCGAGTTTATTATTTTTAATGATTTCAACATTCGTTCATAACGATGGGTGCTGTACATAACTGCGACTTTTATTTTGACTATTTTAATGTTTTCTCATTTAAAATAATCAGTATTAATATATTGTGAACACAATAGAATTAGTATCATATTTCTGCCTGGTTAATTGCCAAATAAAAAATTATAAAAGTGACGCTTATTAGATTAGACTGAATTCGTTATATAAATACGCTGTGAAAGTAATAGATAAAAATATCAAATATATAATTTAACATGCTATTTACATTATTTAGTAATATACTAAATTATGTATATTTTGACACCATTACGGGAACAAGTTAATTATACAACCGATTCACTACATCAGTTTTTTATTTTATTTTGTGATATAATTATATTGTAATGAGTATAAAATATAAGTATGTATTCTTCGACATATTGATTTAAATTAAATAAATCCTATCTAATAATTGGAGTATCAACAACTAAAAAGATTGATAGAAGATCTGGAAAGGTGGTGGGAGCTCCACCGACAGAGCTCTTAAATTACGAATGAATGAATAATATACATTCCACACAAAATGCACAATATAAATGGAAAATATTACTGCCCAATATATGTGACCAATTACTGTCACATGTAGTCACGTCCATCTAACAAATTGAACGTTGCAACCATTTTATGCCAACCACTAATTAGGTAGTTCAGCGGTTGTATTTAACTATATTTCCGTAAATGCACGCAGATAGAACATAGTCACACATAAACACAGCTCACTTAACTCCAACAGTATAATTTACAATGTATTTACAATATTTTAGTCACGTCCGCAAGTAACACTTTTCCGTAGATTTAGCACAAATATCAGAATTTTCAGTTCAGTTACATTTAGAATCGTTTCGCATAATTTAACAATGAGTCGTTTGAATTCCAATCCGTGGTGAATAGTCATTTAAATTATTCGTAGAACTAAATACCATATCGCGTAGTGTATATAGAATATCAATCACGTATTAAAGTATATTTACCAGACAAAATAATAGATAACAATGCTGAAATATATGAAAAAGTAAAAGATGATTATTTATAAACATGTTTAATACTTTAACACGTGTATGTCTATATACCTACGCTGAAATGGTATAACGTTACAATTAAATAAACAATAAGTAAATTCAAAGATACAGTCTGACATACATACAATTAATTGAATGTTAAACTTTCTGTAAATTATTTTTATTATATAAATAGAATTCATACACTATTGTTAATTGAACTAACTGTACTCACATACAAAGATTTTTTTTATTTATTACCCTTTAATAATGATGATATTCCTTTTAAAGTCAAAGTCAACCCTTGCTAATATTGTTAGTATCAATATTCACAATTTGCAAAAAAAATATTTATGTAATATGATTTAATTCAATTCATAATTTTTACAGAATTCCATGTATTGAAATTGATATAGTATTAAATACTTCATAATAGATGTAATGCGTATTCGATTTTATGTAACATTAATGTTTTATTATCCATTTACTTCAACAAATTCAATCATACGTAAGATCTTTCTGTAGAGAAAAACGTTATTATGTATACTAAATAATAATTTAAAAAATATGCAAGACATTTCAAATGACGACAATGAAAAGGTACACACTAACTCACACTCTTTATTGCCTCTTATAATATTACGAAAAATAATGACAAAAATATTTAACCACCAAAGTATTTAACTCGCTCACGAACTAGAGAAGACGCTGTACTTATACGAATTATACACGCCTAAATGATGCGCGAATAAATGATGTATTCATTTGCATACTGTGTTTCTTTAATGTTTTAATTTGTATTTAATATCACAATTACAATAATAGCACGGCATATTCAATGTTTATTTTTCTTCACATATAAAAAATTCTCACGATTACACTATCTATTGTATTCCGAGTCAATAACTCAATTGCGGCGACATCGCCACAATTATATAATTCGCGACATCTCTAGTACGTAAGTTCAAATACCACAATGCCATATACTTTATGCCGCACTACCCGAATTTACGGTGTTGTGTTGGGTGTGGGGCGCTAGGCGGCGGCTCGGCGCGGGCGGCGACGGGCGGGCGGCGCAGGGGGCGCGGGGGGCGCGGGGCAGGGACGCGGCGGCGGCGGGGGCGCCCGGGCCGCGCGCCGTCATACCCCGTCCAGCTGTCTCACTCGCACATCCTGGGACGCGCACATGTCCGGAGCGAACGGCAAACACGTGAAGTACGCACACGCTGCGCACTCATACGCCGGCGCTGCGTAAAACAACGCAACCAGCGCGCAGATCATCCCTATCGCAGAAACTAAACACACCACTATCAGAAATTTCCTCTTCCGCCGCTCGCACCTTTCCTCCTCGTCCTCCCTTTTCTTTCTTTCGTCGGATAAGAACGGCAACATGGCGTATGAGATTAGAAAACCGAATAAGAAACCAAACACTTGCGCAAAATTGTCAATCCACGGCAGGAAACCTGTCAGGAACAGCACTAGAGCTATCGCGAGCATTTTCATGAGCGCGCACTGTGGATGTTTCAGTTTGTGGCGTGCCGCTATTACTTCTACTATTAGACACGCTAGTAGACCGAAATGCGACCCAGCTGGACCCACCTGAAATGTAAAATAATGAATGTATTGTAGGTGGAAAAATGGAAAATAAATCTTATACTAAGATTAAAAAAATATAAGTATTCTTACGTGTAACGTAATATCGTCTGTTAAACTTTGATAATATTTTGTATAGGTGAAACAATTATTTATTTGAATTTAATATTTTCAACTTTTGACAATTTTTTTTTATTGCACTTGTCGTCCAGTAACATAAAAAAAACTGTAAATTTATATAGTAAAAACACAAATAAAATACCTCGGCTCTATATGGCTCGAAAATAGCCGAGGCCATGTTTCCAGCTATACCACTTCCCAAGTAAATGAACGCTATTCTAACTGGACCAGCCATTTTTTCTAGATCTCTCATGAAGAGCCACTGTAGTGCCAACGTCATGGCTAAATGAAGAAGGCCAGCATGAACGAAGAGTGAGGTCGCCGCGCGATATATCTGGTCTGGACGCCGTCTTCGCATAAAAGGTAACATGCCGCAAACGTCGTCGAGGCACGATACCTGCAATTAAATAAAAAAAATATTTTTCAATGTATGGTCATAAATTATCACACAAGCCCCATGGCATAGGGCCAGTGTTAACGCCACTTCCTTCGCAGTTATTACAGGTATATTTGTTTAATTTTTAATTAAAAGTGCTATGTCACTTACTGAGAGGAGCCGACTATACGTAGCATTTACATAACTATTTTTTGGGTTTATGTATAACAAATAAAATCTATATTAACATATATCTACAGGTGAAAGCTCATGAACTATTTTTAATTTAGATTATTATTGTAAAACATAATTCTAGAAATACTCCGGCTTCGCTAAAATTTTTTTTATTTTTTTTCCAATATCATACACAAAATATTAACGAAATATACACCAAAACCTTCCTTATGATTCACTCGTTAGTTATAGAAAATCACATGAAAATCTGCTCAGTTGTTTTTGAGATAATAGCGACATTCGCGGAGGAGGACTTTATTTTATTATAGTATACATACTGACTATTTTTTTTTTTAATTACTGTAACACATATGTAATTGTACACAACAATCATCACCTCCAGTAAGTATAATAAGTCTATCTTTTTATTATAGATTTCTAACTCTTAGCCGCAACTTCTGCTGCGTTTATTGTGGTAAATGATAACCTCTGTGCACTCTCATGATACAATCTATCTTCCCGTCAAATTTTGTTACGATACGTCAGTTGTTTGTATGTAATAAGGTAACAAACTGATAAACAGCCAAATACAGTTTTGCATTTATATATTAACATGTATAACGTACCTGTGAACACAAAGAGGCTTCCTCATGAAAGTAACCCTTAACAAAATCGCAGTGTTCCCTAGTGGTTATAACGCATTTGCCATGAATGCCTATACAACACGGATGGCCGATGACTTCACAGGCCATATGTTCGGCGGCGTGACCAGCACGTCCTGCCGCTGCCGATCCATCCAACACGGACTTCCGGCATATTGGCCATTTTGTAATGTCATCAGGCCACTCGTGTGGTGCTATTGAACGCGGCGCTTCGCAGAATCTGGAATAAAAAGTACCAATGTAATGAAAGAAACAAGAAAACATTAAAACATATCGGCTCTAGTGGTTTAGCGGTTTAGAACGCTGCCTTACTTCCAATTGTTTCATCGATTCCTAGCATCACAAAATATTTGAATAAATCATGAGTATATTGTCTGTATGGTCTCAGTGTTTTCTACGTATATTAAATATGTGTTTAGAAAAAAAAATACACCAATTATCTAATACCTGTTAATTTTGGGGCTGGTTGGCGTTATGTGAACTATCCTCGGGTTATCATCATTATTTATTAAAGCGTAAGCTTGCCTTTATGTACCCGAATGGTACACAAACTGATGGCGCTCTTAATTAAAAGTGGTAACCATCATCTGTCGTGGTCAGTACCAGGAACATGACGTTATGTAATATCTGTGGTACCATACGTTATGTTAGCATGCTGTACTTGAGACTAAGGTGTCATGAGTCCTTACCATGTAATTTCACTGCTATATTTAATGCTTTAACTACCACGAAACACAACTTTCAAAACCGTATAAATAAATGAGATAGAGGTACCCTCCTAGAGGCCTCGAAACAAAGTACTACTTAGTTAGTAAATATCAAAGTTGTAAACAGAAATATATAACTTTATCTCAACTCGACCTGACAACAAACCAAAACAACAAAACCGGTATTCTTTGCATAGAAAGATTAATATCAAGTGGCAATTTTTTATTTGCAATCAATATATTTTAGCGTTCTGCTATTTTATGATTACAAAAATATGGTAAATACTTACTTGGGATCTAATCCACAAACTGACCCTGATATCCGACCTCCGGGCCCGTTACCCGTCGACCATTTCTTCCACGTTTCTATTGTGTTCTGAATAAAAAAATAAGATAATTAATATCTCCATTTATATATTGATTACTCCAATTATTGAACAAGAATACTCACTTTTGTTATTAATCCTCTTATCTGTGTTTAGCATGTAAAAATTTAAAAATATTGCATAAATTAACATAAGTAATTCTACCTGATAGGTGGGCAGACTTATACAATTAAGATAGTCTTTTTTAAGAAATATAAAAATTAATATGTTTAATCCTTGTCTACTTTTAGACAAAGAATATTCTGTTTACGTAACTAACTGAAATCAATGAATGCATATATTAAGTATTTGTATCAGTTGTCTAGTACACATAACATAAGCTCTGCTTAAGTTTAATTATATAGGTTTATTATTATTGGTATAAACAGGAACATGTCTTTTGAAATTATATCATTTACATTTATATGAGACTCACCGAACAATCTGCTTTTGAGGACTGCACGCACCCCGAATCATCATTTCGTATGCAACAGGCCGTATCTCGCTCTCTTCTCGCGAGTGCAGCGATCGCTCGAGCTATCCTCGCGTCTCTTCTCATGCATGGCGCGAATTTGGCACCTAAATGTATTAAGTCTGCAGCGCGAGGGCCTAACCAAAACGACGCTGGCTCTTCCCATTCCACCTGTTAAGGACAAAGTAATAATTTAAAACAATATTTTAAGTACTATTCTTTTGGGGTACTCAGAATAAATTATTAATATTAAAAAAACGATAATTTGTGAATAGAGATAAGTGCATCCAGCATTCAAGCATCCGCTCATCCCTATTTGCAAATTTTCTCTTTTTGTATGTTATTTTTAAAAACAAAATACGATAGTCAAAATCAAATAAAATTTGAATCTGAATTGGCGCTACCAATGAATTTATTACTACAAATTATAGCTAGTACGAAATAAAAATGTTCTTCTGTAACACAGAAGTATCAAAACGTCTGCTTATTTGTCATTTTTCAATAACATTTAACGCTTCTTATATTTTTTTAGAATGTAAAGTATATTATTAAGTAATAGTATGTAATATTATGTTATCTGTGGTGACAGTAAGTACATGTCGACACGATTTAACTACTACATCATTTAAATATTTAGTTTAAATTAGACAACGAGAATATTTTATAATAACCGGGACTTTTAATTTTTATCAAAGAAATTTAGTATGCTTTGGTAACTAATGTTAAAATAAAATACTTCTATGAAAAGTTCCTTTTTTGAGAAGAATAAATAGACATAACCTATATTAAACCTTGTTTACTTCGGATACTATTATTTAACCTAAGGGTATGTTTCCAGCTTTAGAAATTACAAAGTCGGTCCTGAATAATTATATAGACCCTTTGTGTCCATTTATCTAAAAGATGCAAAGACTTAGCAACAAAAACTAGACAAAGAAAGCCGTGGATGTATAAAGCTGAGGTGACCTACATCCCGTTAATACTCTTACTTTGTGTCGCTTTCTGTGTCAGTAGGAAAAAGTAAACCTTTGTAGAGTCGTAGAAATTGTTGATCTCGTATTACAGGTACTTTGATACAAAAATACATCCTCATGACTATAATACCATAAGGGATAATCAGACGCATTATCAATCATCGACGACGACATGTACACCATGGCAACATTTGATTTGTTCACATTGCGCTAGGCAAATTGTAATCCAACGTAGTAAAGGCCCTAAAGGGAAGCCTAGTATCGTCTCTAGGGTAGTTATTTTGAGAGTCAGTCAGAAATATAAATTACACACAATTTTTTTTTGTGAACTCGCGCCATTATGGTTGTACGTCCAAGTTAGTATGTTCAAATTATAATAGTTAACATCAATGAACATTCTTTATCCACAGATACGTTTGTTGTTGTAATTGTATGTTTAAGATGTCACAGTTTTTATAACCTTTTCCTTTTGGTTGTTTATATTTATTCAGAACATTGTTTTAATAGAGTGGGCAACGCATAGGCATGTTCGTAAATGTGGTTCAAGAAATATTCTGCAATATTGTGTAGTAACAATTTATCAGCTAGCGTGACATAAAATTTCTTAATTGTGGTGTCTACCTATAATTTCCTTTAAATTTAGCATATCACCGCAAAATTTTAATTTTAAGTAATCCTACAATTGAATATCCCTGGGAAATATTTAATTGAATAATTTAACTTATTTGTACGTAAGCAAATAGGTAGACGAGCGACGCCATAATAAATTTACGAAGTAAATATTATGCATTGTGTCCTAAGCGCTTCCTCAGATACACGTAAATCTGGTGAACGTGTTTTGTCTAAAAGCTTTGCCTCATTTAACCTCGTTACGTCAAGTCGCGTACAAAAGAAACAATATCACAGGCATGAAATGACATGAATTGACTGTTTTGGAATCATTAATTTCTTCTATAACATCCGCTTTATATAATATGTATATAGTTAACATTTATCTGTATTACATGTATATTGTTATGTTTGTCTTCTATTATTCTTAATTATATATTTAATAAAAACGTTCGTTTGAATATAATGTCTGTAATATAACTGTCTGACATAACTTCATTTAAAATTTTAAACATAGTTTCAATTAAAGGATTATAATTATTACGTGCAGGATTATTAGGAAAATAGAAATATCTATATAACATTTCACTACTGATTAATGTATTGATAAAAATCTTTCATATTATATGATGAATCCCGTAATCCTATATATAAATACATACATTTAATTAATTATTATTCATAGTTTTAATTGTTTTTCACTCTCACATAAGCTTTATGTAGTATGGTTAACTTTATAGAAGAATCTATACTAATATATAAAGTTTAAAAATGTATTTATAAATGCATTAATCTCGGCAAGTATCCGTTAGATTAGAAAATCCTTTTGCATCTGATAATTCTTTAGAAAATGTATAGTATTTAAGCACTACGATACGACACCAATGCATAAAATATAATAAGTTAGACGGATAAGTGAGCATCACGTTAGAAGAGGGTGGACAGCATTTTTTTATTCTGCTAGTTGAAATCTCTATTCACGGTTAGTATTGTACGTTCTTTATAGAATAACATATATAACTATTACAATTGCAGTCTCACCTGTTGCAAACTCAATGTTTTCACAAGCACCTGCCCGGAGTGCGTGTGTCGCCCAAATCCTACAGGTCCGAAACCGTAACAAAGTATTGACAGCAGCAGCACCAGGGTCTGGGCTGTACTGACCCACCACGTGAAGTACGGCCGGTAATCTTTGTACTCGTCGAAATGCCGCGTCACGTTTGCATCAGATACCGGTCGAAGGGATAACCTGTAATTGTAAGCAGAAAAATAATTGAATCGTAGTAAAACAAAGAGTATCACATAGTGGATAATGTCGAACTGTATTTCTAAATAATTACTTTCCTTTACGAACCTACTTAATAAACCGAATACTAGTCCCTCACTTATCTTCCGATGGTATTATTTGATTGTTTTTAGAATTGATAAAAGCATTGTTCCCATAAAAAAGAAATCTGGTTATAAAATCGCGAACAAAATGCATGTTTTCTCGAATTATATCAACATAACATTATCTTTACTTCCTTTATGTTATTCTCTTTTTTTTTTGTGTTTTATTTTATACTAAAACTCCACATGGTTCTATAAGCACAGCTTTTATTACGACCTATAGGGATGGCATGTATTTATGATTGAGGTTAAAAAGAAAATAATGAATAAACTGAAAGTATTAAGTAAGTATTTCTGAAAAATATTAAATTAGTAGTAATTAGAAAAGTATTATGATCATTGTATGATTTATTACAAATGGTAAAATTTCAGCAAATTGAAAAATAGAGATAGATACTTCAATATATCTATGTTAGTAAAAGTAGGACGTGACGCCCTGCAAAAAGGTCGGGGTTCGGGTCAAATGACGCACTTTGAGAGAGGTTAATGTACGACTGTGGATATTCACAGATGTCAAAAAATAATTATAGAAGATAAGTACCTAAGATTTATTAAGTTCAGTATGTATTGTGCTGGTGACCCTATGTTTTATTCAGGGGGAAAGCTAAAAGCCTACGCTAAAAGTATGTTTATAGAAAAATTTATAGTTTTCACGCAGCTATAACCAATTACACTTCACCTCTATGTATTCTTTATATTTAAATTTTGGGCTCTAAATATTACTTCATATTATAGAGCAATTCCTACAAAGGACTTGTAAATGTAAATAACTTAGAATAATTGTATATTAGTAGTAAATAACACAAATAATAAAAATAACCATCACAACTATTTTCTGTTGGGCTCAGAAACAGAAAGTCCAAACAAAAATAATAATTAAGAATGAAGTCCTAATTTAAATTTGTTACAATTGATTAGACATCATAAACAAATCGTACAAAATTGAATAAAAATAGTTTATCCTCAGATCCTTAGGTGCTGGTATTGCTTTGAAAAGTACAAAAGAATTAACTAAGCAATCTACAATAACAGCAACTAAGAATCTGAGGTAATTTATGTTGTAATGATTTTTAATATTTTTTTAATCATACTCGTAGATGAATTGCGACCAGTTACTTAAGTTACGTACAATTGCGTTTGTATCTACAAAATGACTTGTCAAACAATATAATTACCTTTAATATAAATCTGTTTAAAATATCTAATAGACGGCAATAGCAAAATTAAATCGTTTTTAAAAAAGATAAATAGAGATATCGTTTATAATAATTCCCCTGTTGCAATATGCTAGCTTTAATTTGGCTGAAATATTAATATTATGCAGTGAAATAGCCACGGGGAATCCTATTTATTCGTTTAGGGAAATCGGCAAATAACGCGTTTCTCCATAAATAATGGCTAACGTCATATCCACAGGGTATTAATTCAAAAACCCATTACAGCAAGTTTTGAATGGAAGCACTCCCGTAAACACGGTGATATATTGGAGGGCTCAGGTGAGTTATGGCCGGATCAACGTTCTTGTGCATTATTTTTTAATCCTCCTTGCGGTAGATACCTGCCATTATGAATTATTTTTAATTACGGGCAAAGTTAATTTATAGAGGAGATAATACAACAGCAACTGCACTTTATTACTTTGTTACAACGACTTACTTTAACCACAGATAACATAATATTACATTAAATTTATTAATTTAACCAATTATGCTAATAAATGTTTATTGTATTACATAACAAACAGTGAACAAATATTTATTATCGTAGATTTAATTACTTGAACAGAATTATTCGTTCGCTTATTAACGCGCCGATAAAAATAAACTATACTTTTCATTGATTTTCGATTAATATTGTTCATACACAATACGAAGTATGAAGTACGAATAAGACGAATTTTTCATTTGAGGATTTCTTTTATTTTTAAGTTTTTTAATGTGGAATTGTGTACCTGCCGCAATTTTCTTGTGAGTCTACAAATTTTTCAAGAAGTGTTATTAATGGTTTTTAATGGCAATACACACATAACACTCCTGGTATCTCAGGCGTCTATAGGCTACGGTAGCCGTATACCATCAGATGAGCCGTATGCTTGTTTGCTACCATCGTAATATAAAAAAAAACATAATAAATATAAATAAATTTACAAGTCGTATATTCAAAATCACATGTCTATGTTATCAAGATTAGTTATGTAGTTAGCACCTTCAGTCTCTCAGGATTTGAGAATAAATTATACAGAAGTCATAATATATTGTTTATGTTTGGCTATGAAAATAAAACCAACAGATAGAGAGACCTTTAGACTTGCTTACGAGCGTTTGAAACAATGAAATAACAATCATGTTCTTATTATGTACCATATGTTTTTATGATACTAAGGGAAACGTTGTCATTCTACTAGCCGTACTGTTTGTGGGCCTTTAATAATTATGAGATGGGTCGATACAGAGCCGTGTCAGCGACCGGTCACTGTTAGCTAGTCATTATTCGCAATATACCTACTAACTGTCGCCTGTCCTAACCTTTGTTACAGCACTTACTGCATAACAAAAGCTATAACGAAGTATATTTCTAAAAGGCTTAGTATGTAATTGAAAAGTGAGTAAAGTGTAAGTTGTTGAATAATAATCCACTAATTATATTTTTAGTCTTTACAAAGTTAGAATAAGTTCACAACACTACTTTACTACTTATTCTAATAGCGTTAAAGTTGCTTCCAGTCATTATTGTATCCTTCTCATAAAATAAGCAGCGTGTCTACAAACTACTCAGAAGTCAGATCATATTCCTCAAGTACGTAATGGTTTTATAGTGTTTCAGTTTGACTACAGAGAACTTGGAAATTACGGAAGCAATCACATTTGCATATTATGAAAAAATGTATTCTCTATTTGTTCATGAACGTAATAACTCATGATAGTCGCACAGCGATATCCAGTCGAAGCTAAGAAAAGCTTTTATTAAGGGCACTAGACTATAAATATACAGATATACTTTTTTTGTAAATACATAAATAATAAATATAGAAAACACGCAGACTGTTATAAACGATCATACTTATGAATGCAAGTATTTGTACCGTGGGAATCGAACCAGCGGCCATCAGCAGTGAGGCGGTATGCTAAACTGCTAGACCACCGAAACCGTCTGAATTAACATGGAAAAGTGTTCATAACTGTTCTAATTTTAAAGTCAATATTCCAACAAGAGTAATTTAGGTTTATTTCAACTAGTTACTTTCTGTAATTACCTTAGCGTCAGAGTGCAATATTATGTTATGTAATATAATACAAATTGTACATTTACGATTAAACTTCATATGAGGGAACGTGTGTTATTACTGTGTATGTAGTTAGTATTACAATGTCTTACCCAATTAATTTGCCAACAGCGCTGAGACCAAACTGTCTCCGATTTGAGTTGTCAGCCATTGATCCCAATATGGGTGTGTTTATTCGCACGCCACCAGAGGCACTGCGCATAGATCTGGGAAGTGCCCTGAAAAAAGAGAGTACGCCACTATTATTCATACATCTAATTAAAATATACTGTTAACAAGATACGCCATGTAGGGTACTAATATAGCTGTCATTAAACGTAAAAATGTTTCAAGTACATTTTGCATTTGTAGACTTTATTATAAAATTACTTTGTACAATTAAAAAATTAAACATTATAAAAGTAATTCATGTAATGTTCTTAACTTATCCAGAAAACAATCACTAGAATATATATACGATATTTACTGCATCTACTGGGTAAAAAGCTTATTTCTTATAAGCTCGCGGCATAAATACACTAGATTTTTAAAACCATATGTAGGTCCGGGGAATCGAAATAATTGAATTTCTGCGCGTTACGAATTTAATTTCCAATATTTACAATAAAATACTAATATTCAGCAAGCAATATTCGTCGTTCCTCGTTCTAACGTTTAACTCACTCGTTCTTCGTTTCCCTTCACTTATACATTCATTCTCTCGTCATTCATGTTTTAATTCATGTTCGTTCAGTTAACACAGTCGGTCCATTACATATCAATCCCACCCATATATAATAGTAAAACAACATTTATTTATATAATTTTCTACAATTACAATTTTATTGCTTTGTTCCATTGTCGCTCTGGATTACTCTTGTACTCGGAACAGAATCAGTATTATCTACTAATTGGCCTAGTAAGTAATAAATTATGTATATGGTTGTATTATCTATTATAATCTAGGACTCGTATATTAGTGATTACATATAAGTTAAATAGTTGATTTATTAGTACTAGTTGAGTTATTTATGAAGTTGTGAAAAATATTATTGTAAATCTAGTTTTTCAACTATAAATATACAATAGCTAAAGTGCTATTCCGTATTCAGCATATCTGACAGAGATATCACTTTACCCAAATCTATTTGACATGGGTCTGTGAAATCGGAGATTTAATCTCTGAACTAACTAAAATATAGGTACATAATGCTTAGGTTGAAAACTATGTACCTATGCCTATATAAATATTCGACACACAACAAAGGTTTATATTCACTTGAGATATAATAATTTAAATATTTTATTTGAGTACACTAGAGGTCTGAGTTCTCTTCTTTCAACCAACTTTAGTTAGTATGGGATTTTTACAATATATTTTCATGAATCCTGAACAACGGTTTGATTATATATAGTTAATATGAATATTTTTATTTCTTTACTTAGATGTTTAATAATTTTTAGTAAGTATTAGAGGAATGAAAGGTTTTAAGAAACGGATAGACCGATGATAACAGTAACTTCTATTTATAGTACAAGAGATTCGTCCGATAGCTACATTCGAGAAACGTTTAAATAGAATATAGAAATAGAGTAAAGAAAACTGTCTTTGAAAGATAAAAAACGTCTTTTAATGCTTCAATATTGGTATATCATATTTAGATTTCGAAGAATTCTATTTTAAAAATACTTTTTGATAAATGTAATAGTGTTGACAAAAATAGCAGTAAAATATTCCTTGTTCGGTAATGTCCTGTATTGTGTTCATTACTTCGACAATTGATAATACCTCTGGCTATCCCAAGTTAAATAATGGTCGTAAATACGAAGATCCATCTATCTTCACAAATTGTTGTTATTATATTTTTAGCAGGATGTATAATGAGTGAGAAATTTGCGAAAAGTGGGATACATAACTTGTATTACGTAATTTTAGTCTTAATTCGTACAAACTAATATATTGAAAGCCAGCAGCTCCAAATAGTTATAAATTCTTTTGTGACTTTTTCAAAATCTTATCTGTCATATCTGCACAGAAACAATAGTAGATTGAGTCATTTCTATTTGTAACGTAAGTTAGTGCAGTCTCATAAATTAAATATTACGCACACACTACTTCACATAAATTCGCAAATTTCCAACTGATTATAATCAGAATATACTGATATCATTTTCTCTCATATTTATTTGTTGACATGGATATTCTGTCATATAAATGCACATTCCATCAAAATAAATGCGAGATACAATGTGTGTATAATGTTTGCCTTTGTCCTCCACATAATAAAGCATGATTCTGTATTTTTTTAATGATCAATTAGCCAACTGCGGCTGCTAAATTAGTTATAAGGAATTGACAACGATAGTTACTAGGGGGATCGAATATTCGTCGAGTAGTCGAATCAGGGTGGGTATATTGTTAGAATGGGCCACCAGTTATCGTTACTAACAATCCACTCCACCTTAATGATTGTACATTGTCATTATACGAGTATGTAGGTATAGTTCCAATAACGACTACCACTAAAATCTTGAAATCTTGATCACATAAAATAATGGGCTGACAAAGACAAAGGAATAGTGTAAATAGCAAATCGAATCAAAAAACAGGTGGTACATAACCGGTGGCTTTCCCCGTTATGAGTCATCCGCATCTTTACAATCTTTTATATTTATAATAGTCGCTAGCTGTAAACCATTGCTTCATTTGTACAAACTATTATAGCGTACTACAACCTCTATGGAACATTTTTTTTATTCTTATGTTTATTATTTTCTTATGTCGCTAGTAATATTTCTCTGTTTTTCCTTAAGGTCCGATAAAACGTCTTTATTATTTTATATTATTAAAATGTAACCATTTAAAAACGTTTGACACCTTTTTAGACAAACACTCTTCGTATTCGGTCGGATTCGTACTAAATATTACTACATTAAGTAAGAATTATTAAGTAATACTATACATTAACAAAGAATGGCTACAAGTACAATTTATGAAGATAAATATAATACTCATTAAAATAAAACTAGAAACTCTATGAAAAAGATTAAAATAAAACTCGGTTCTTGAGTGAATTGTGAAAACCCTAGCGTACAAATAACTTTCTTCATAAGTTTGTATATAATATATAAATATCTAAAATACCTAACGAATTATACACATATTAAACAATGAATGTTATCTTATCTTTTGATTAGTTCTACATTATCATCTTAATTTATTTCAATACTTGACGTCCTAATATGGATATGGTTGTCGCGATAAACATTTCCTTTCTTTAAATCGGATGTTGATTGTATTTCTAGGAAATGATGGAAAAGTTAGTACTTTAAAAAAAATTAGAAAAGGTGGTAATTTTTGCTACACTCAACACGATATTGATCCATTATTGAGTTATGTGTAATAATGGTATATTTAAATGTAATAAACTCAGGACAATTCACACAGCGCTATCTAGACCTAAGTTAAGCTAGCTAAAGCTTGCATATATCAATGTATTTATATCAGTTCTAGTACCATATATCTGATATAAATACATAGATATATTTTTTTCTTAAATACATGCAATTTATACATAGAATACACTCAAACCGACACAAACAATTCTACTCATGAATACAAATGTTCGTGCCGTGCGAGAAATCGAACATGCGACCATCATGGAAGTAAGGCGGTGTGTTAAAGCGCTAGACCACCGAGGCGGTTGAATTTTTATTCTTTACTGATACACTTATTCTTTACAAGCTTCCACCTCTTACTTCGTCTGCTTTTTCATAGATAAATGAGTGATTATGTCCGTCCGCGTAATACAATTTATATTACGCGGACGAATTTTAATACGCGGATTAATTTATATTTATGTCAAATTTGATTATTACCTGTAGAGCTTTTTGTCGTCTAATGACACAGTTTTTAATTTCATATAATAATATTAGTTCGCATTTTTATATCTTATCTAATAGGTTTGTTTGTATATATTAGGAATAGGTAGGTAAAAGACAATTTTCGTATCTTTATGCTAATATAACAAAAAATGTAATATGTCTTTTAAAAGGAAAAACAATTGGTTGTAGTTCGAAAGTGTTTTTATTTTTGTTAATAAACCTTTTACTTTTCTTATACACCTCCGCCTTTAATTAGACTTAATTTTTGTGTGTGGTTTAGGTACACGATACTCCTGCTAAAACTACAAAGATTTCGAATATCCTTTGTGTAACAAACTAGTGGCTTGCCTCAGCTTCGCCCGGGTGCTCATAATTCTGTGAGTTGTATATATTATAACATAATATACAAACAGTGTTAGATTTTCTGAATTGGTGCAGTGGTTTTGGAAATTTCTTTTCTCATAAGAAAAACCGGTCTCTTTTATAATATTACCTAACTGTGTTGGTAAACATGGAATTTGAAAAGTGTAAATAAAATCGGTATGATTAATTTTTAGTATATATAAGACTTACATTAATAATGCAATCCAATCTTGATTTGAAACATCAAACTGAAGAATACTACACTAAAATTTTATATATTATTAATCACTATTTTTTATTCTTATATTGTTAGCACATGTATGTTCGGATCGAAAATGAGTGTGTAATGTAAAAATCATTCTAAATAATTTTATCTTATCATTAACAAAACAATCAATAATGACAATAAATGTAAATTTTTCATTATCGTGGGATAATATCGTGTTGATATCCTGCGCAGAAGTTACGGATTTATTTACGATATTAGCATAAAGGACTTGATAATATAATCTATGTCACTTTTGTGTCCAATTGCTAAATCATATTATTCAGCGTCGTACCTAAATTGTTTATGACCCCGATTTATTCGACAAATTTAAACTAGTAAAAAACCTTTGTCTGATAATAATAAATGTCTATTCCTAAATGTATTTTTTAACTTTTCGCCAATAATATCCAAGAGAAGTTAGATTGGACATATTTATAATTTCAAGTCTTACCCTTTAGGTCCATCAGTAACATCAACATCCTCATGTTGTTGCTGCTGACTGAGTGGCAGTGATGCTTCGAAGAAAACGTCGTCGCAATCAGCATCATCGTGCGGTGTGGTCGCGCTGCCACGGAATGATCGCGACCATTGCGCTGAGATTGACTGCCTAGATCGCCTTGTCACCGCCTGTCAACAACCCTTTATCGTGAACATTCGATAATCAAATTAATTTTATTTAGCATATTCTAATAAGACAATATTATGCTAATAGAATTATCTTGACCGATAACGTATCAAATTGCAGCCCGGTAAAAACTGAGTGGTTGCTTATCGTGTATTTTTAATACGTAATGGCAGCTAGCCAGACAGTTGAAACACTCGCATATAAGTATTACAATAACAACATATAGTACTTATAAATTGTGAAGTCCTTAGTATTTCTCATACGTTGCTGTTTTTGGGAATTACTGAGTTATTATTTTATCGACGTTCCCCGTAATTTCACTGTCATATCTCAGTCATCACATCAAAACAGCTTGCAAGGTAAGCTGGCGGCAGAATTACGAGTAGGTGAAATAGAAATAGACGTAGACAACTTTATAGAAAGGCTGGTAATCTAATTAGATAATTATTTATTATATGCTGTTACTAGTTTACTTAACTGTAAAGCACTGTATAAATTATTATTATTTCTTATAATTTTATCTAATAAATATATCTATAACTTACAGATAGATCTTAGTAATTCCTAGTTTAGAGTTATATGACTGTGTTATAGTTAGTAACTATTATTGTTTGCTAAATAAACACATCTAATAGTAGTGGTAATCATATTTTACATTAAAAAGTTCCACTTGAATTCGTGGTAACTCAGAAAATCCTTTTCATCAGCTTTCCTGCCACGGAAGCAGGCGTATTTCGACGTCGTGGGCTATTTCCTTCCGGGGATATTGCTAACGGAACACGGGACGTCTTGCACATTATTTATGATGCCATAACGTTCCAGTCGATCCCTAAAGACATCGCTTTTATAATTTATTTGACGGAAATATAGTAGTCTAATTTGTCTGCCGCGGTCGAACATTTAAGGATATTATGATGAATTTTTAAAGGTCTTCGTGTTATACAGGGATAACATAATTTATTTGTTTCTTACAGAAAAATTCGTAACATTTAACTGTACATATATTTAGTGGCATGGTCTGTAGATGTCTTGCAGATGGGTGATTTTTTTCGACATACTTCACATTTATATTTCACCAAAATTAAATAAATTATAGCTTATGTGTTATTCTGTTGTAAAAACTATATTTCTATAAAGTTACATCTAAATCTATCTAGTAGTTTGTGAAAAAGCAACAGACATCTATCTACTCATAAACAGTTAGGAAGTAAGGATATATTTATATTTAGCAAGTTTGTTGATGATAAAACTTTTCTGAAAACAATTTAATTTATGAGGTACCTAAGCACGTACGTACATTTTATCCTTAATAACATTTTAATTTTTTTGTTCGTTACTTCTCGGCCTTTGCGATATTTGGATGCAATTATATTTATGAGGGATAATGGATAAAGGTTTTTCCTGGTCAATCAATATATCCCGATCACATTAGCAAAGTGGTTGGCACATTTAGACGATCATAAATATATGACATATATGTATCTGGAATATTATTTCATAGGTATTGTTATATTTTATTACACGTATAACAATTAGCATTAGCAACTAGGATGTTATTATTCATATGATTAATTGAGCTCTAACAAAAATAATTATACTTTAAAAGGTATTTACGTCTTTCGACGTGACGTTTCGCCTTGTTTGCCGTGGTCACGAGTAGAGTTTATTTACCAACAAGTTTTTCGTGTTAAGATCTAATTAGCTTTATTAATAATGTACTGAATCGAAATATTTATAAATTACTATCGAAATAATATTACGAAATATGTTTTATTTTTCCACATTTAAGTACTAATACAATAGTTATGTAAATCCGCGCATTATCATAGGATTTCATATAAAATTATATCAAACATTTTAAGTTATAATATTGCTTATCGACTAAGATATAACATAGGATAACAAAATTGCTTTAGTATGTTATGCTAACGTACAATTGCGAAAGAGCCTGACATATTCAACATGGTAAAGAATTGTGATCCATATTTTAGTAGTATCCCTCGTTTATCCATCAGTAGGCTTTCTTTACCAACATTAACTGTACAAGTCACGTCTATGTTAATTCAAATGATATTCCGTACACGACTTATATACAATACAGGGTGTAATCTTGTTACTTATGAACTAAGTTCTGCGACTCCAACGCCGTAGTTCGTGGCCACAACTTAGCGCGTGATATGATTTTACGAATACTAAAGTTAAAGTCAGACGCTATATAGATTTGGAAAATGGTTACTGTTGTTCCGCAAACTATAAAACAAAACAAATTTACATAAAATTATCTAGAATTAATAGAATAGTTGTGCACAAAATAGAAAACGTAGTTTGCGTTGTCCTCGAATCATAAGAGTTTTTAGAAATTTTACAACAATAGGTACTATGGCGGAATGTGTAAGTATAGAATTTGTTCATAAAAAGAGAAACAGTTGCTTTTCTAAATTTACTTGAGCCTAATAAAAACATCATCTACAATATCCGTGGAAGTTGAGACAATACTTATTTTAAACAAAAATAATACACAATATATATTTTATATAGTATTATAAACACAAATAAAAAATATATATAATATCCTAGGATATTACCATTGACAATTTATTCAATAGTAATCGTAATTTATATAAGGGATGACACGTTTATGATCGGCGAAAAATTAAAATTATCTTCATAGGAGCTAAAATGTTCAATACAATAAGCCTATGAATTACTTCGTAGATACCATGACGTTGTTGTTTTTTATATTTAATAATTTATTTTGAATTCTTTTCATTTCGAGGTTATTTTCTGTATACTAACTTCCTTGCTCATTTTTTGGCAAACATTCAAGTACGCGTTTTTTTCAATGATAAATTATTTAACCTTTAAGAATACTAATATCGAGATGCAATTTCGAAGTTTATTTTAGTAAAAGATCAAGATCAAATCAAGTACAAATCACTAGCAGGATAAATTCGTTATCTCATATGAATACTAAGATAACAAATTTAATATATCGAATGACTTTTACTAATTTAATGATACGGAAAAAGGATATAAAAAACATGAAAACGTAAAGGAAATCAAGTTAAACCAATATTAGTATCTTAGTAATGAAAAAATCGTTAGGATTTTATTAATTAATTAATTTTTTTTATAAATAAATAATTTATAATGTTTTTATTGATTTAGTCATTCATAATTTAAACCGTCCCCAGATTTTTATAAATTTATACTTTAGGCTAAAAGCGTCCTTATTCATTTTTATTGTAGAAAAAAAAGTCACTCATCGATAACTATCTGTTTGACGATTAAGATTTCATATAAAAACTGCTGTAAATAAATGTATTAAGATAAAATTTTCAAGGAATGTATTGTTTAAGATTAAACAAACACGCACAGATGTGCCAAACATATTCCATGGGACGCTTAAAAATCACCCCCCAAAGCGGGTTAAAAAATTACTGTATTATTTCAGTATGACATCTACTATTACATAAACTAGTTTATTAAAATAATAAAATACTATATGACATCATGTTTAACTTATTGCCATCAATTCTGTAAATGGCGTTTCCATACATACGCGAAATTACGGGTACCGCTAGTTTAAAATATACTTTCTATTCTTCAGTCTCATTTTTATCGCAAAATGAGAATTAAGAAATATAAGCTATGATGGAGAGTTGCCCATCCATCATAAAGCTTATATTATTCAGAAAGTACGTCTTAAAATTTATTTTTATAATTCTAAGAAGAATTTATTATACTTAGACACAATGAGATTGTTTATTCAAAAATAAAATTATATTATGTAAAAAAAATCAATAACATACAAATATTAGAGTAGTAGAGTATTAGAGCAACTTGTTGAAGTCAGATCTATAACGTATAGTAAAACCAATCAATAACTTTATCAAATTATAGTAAAAATAAACACTATTTTTACAAGGAAAATGATAGTAATTCATTAGAGACTTATTACTTTTTTAGCAATCAACTCACTCTTTACAATACTCTGTCAATCGATAAGAGTAAATGCTATGATGACGCATCTAGCCGTTATGCTTGTTAACGAGACTTATTTAAAAGAACTGAATAACAATATTTTATTGACCACGATATAGAATGTGTTATGCACCTTTATCGGACTATATGCAATTCATCTTATTACAATAAGATTCATTTGAATTCCACTAAGAGAAGAAACAATTCATAGTAGGTATACAATAAACTGAAATAACATTATGTAAAAAATACCTAGAGACGAATTCAATGAGAACTTTATATCTTATAACAATTTTATAAAAATATGACTGGATATGAAGACTTTCACATTTTTATGAGGGAATAATAAACTTCTTACCATAATAATATATGGTTATCATGCATCTACACTAGTCCGAAGAGCTCTCAGCTTAGTTAAAATAGCGAGGCAACTTCGTAGAATATTTACTGAACTTTTAAATGCTTATGTAACATGAACAAGCGAAAGTAGGTTACCAGCTAACTACCACCTGTGGCCATGATAGTCTTTGTCGGGAGTAGATAAACTGCTGTTTAGTAACTATTCAGTACCTCAGGACTAATTAATATTCCATACACTTTATTGATTTTCTAACTATTACAGTCTATTTGATGTATAGCTTGTTCAATACAACTCTCAATTTTTAAGTAAACTGACCGTTCATATAATGCGATATAAGCTATCGTAAATACACATTAATAGGCGATGCAACCGGTGTATCTCACGCATCAAATAAACCAATACGCTAGTAATAGTGATATCCTGCAACCAGTGATGTCAGTAAAGGTTTTCCAATTTTTTTACAATTTTGAGCGCTTTTACCGTAATCTCATCTGATGTTGATTGTGCATTCCAGTCTAGTATGTTACACGCAATCTGAAATATTGTACTAAGTCACTTTGGACTTGAAAGACCACATTTAGAGGCATTTTGTGACTAAGACAAATATGCAGGTATCAGATATGGAATGAGCATTTGAAGGAAACGATTGAAACTGGTGACTGGTAGGGCTTTTAAAGCATGATCTTGATGGTTTATTCCTATACGATGGTTTAGTTCTACAAGACCATATCAAGACAAAAAAAAAACTTAAGTTTCTTTAACCCAAAAAAGTGTTTATACATATAATAAAACTTTTATTCATAGAAAATATAATTTAAAACAAGCTATTTTTTAAATTCGTTAAAAATAATGAAATAAATACTCTTTCCCTTAAAAATTCTACCACTAACTTATGACGTATTACACAATTTATACCATATAAAAGCTTGTCGCGAGATTTGGGTACTCGTATTTACTTTGTTAGAGTCTTTTAAAATTTTACAATAACCAGGTCAAGTTATTAAATTTACTCATTTACACAAGTAAATCCCACGACACGCTGTTCGGTTATATAAGCATAATACGAGTATAGTTTAAAATGAAAAACCATTGCAACTATTAAATTATGAATACACTTACAGTAACAACATAAGAAATGCCAGTGAGTGTGAGCCGAGCAACGCTATCCTTGCCAGGAAGTGGCCGGATGGGCGTCGAGGGCTCGTCGAGCGAAGCCGGCGCGGGCAACACGTCGGGTCGCTCTCGCACCCGCCCCCGAGCCTCTCTAGGTGCTGCACCCGACGCTCCATACATACTGTGTAAACAAACAACACATAAATTTAATAATATATTATAACTAGCTGTGCTCGCGATTTCACCCGTGTCAATTCAATATAAAATATAGCCATTCAAATACAAATTCAAAAATAATTTATTCATGTAGGACATTTAGCCCTTATGAACGTCAAATTTTTGTACATTAAATTTTAATTTTAGCCCTAGCGTCCAGTAAATACCTAGTGTTCAGTATATAGATCCAATTGAAGAGAACTGGGAAGAAACTCATTGAATTAGTTATATTTTTTAAAAGCCTGTTTACTTAAAGGATATTTATATCTATGTCTAACATTAAACCGTGCATGAACAACTATTGCTATGTCATTCATGCTATGTCATCATTCATTCTATTCGTTTTGTGAGTAATAGGATATGTTTAATATAGATTCATGGCAGTGCAATTACAGGGTACGACAGCATTATAGTCTTCCATAATAGCAACGTATGAAGAGTACCGTAAGCGTAAGAGAACAACATATTTATTGTCCTAGGTGGTGTTTAGGTATATCAGTAATGGTAACCACCTACTTAAGCTAGCTGTAAGTCTTTTCGCCGTTCCAATTGCATAAAAATGGACAGTGTAGGTTCTAAATCTACACTATCGATTTTTTTAGGGCATCACCCACAAGTTATTTTAAGTCGTGTTCAATTGAATGTTTATTTTTCATTAATACAAACTTAAATAATAGGTGTAAAGATAGCTATATAATTAGTGTGAATACCAATGGTATGACTATATACGTAAGGACAAAGTCAACTTTGTTACTGTCATAGAAAGCAAACCTATATAGTTATTTTAGGACGAAAATGGGTCAAAGGTTATTTCTAATACCGTATATATTACGGAAACCATTAACGTATCCCTATCTATTGGATATTATGTATCTATTGCTCTAATATCAACAAATGTTACGAGCAGATACATTCTGTTTGCATTTCTATTTTTATCCTACCGATTTAGATCGATCGTCTTCCAACAAATGTACTCAGGAAGGTATACTAATATACATACTAAAACATACCTGCTGTTTATATTATGTGATATTGAAACTACAACAATAGATAAATATTAAGTAACTACTCCACAAAGACCTTACAAATAATCACATCACACTTACAGAAATGTCAAATCCATTTGTATACTATCTTTTGCTACGATAGCAAAGGGCGAAAATCCGCCGAACTTTGAGCAAATGCGATTATTATCGTTGATTTAGTCAACGAGAAATATAAGTTAAAACACAATATTTATAATATCTATCGGATTTGAATTCATAACCTCTTACGTCTATTAGCTAGAATAGGAACACTAAGTAGCATGGTGTTCTCGTTGAAAAATAGAGAAATATGAGAGAAGAAAAGTAGGTACCACAAGTCCATTTGTTGTTTAATAAAACAGTTTCAATAAAACTCAATGTGAAGTTCTTAAAAGGTGCATTCTCTCTGCTCTCAGCAAACAGTCAAATGTATGATATTTTAAATTTCCCCTTTCCTATTGTGTTATAAGATTTCAAAGAGCGTCTATAAAACGTTATTGTCTGACAATACTTTCATGCAACTAAAATTGACGTGAGTGTTTCAGTGAAATTGTGCTTACTTAGTGCGCCCGCAGGCCTTCAATTTCAAGTTAGCCAACTATCGAGTAATTAGGTCGTGTTCGTGTCTAGTTTAATCGGATAATTGTTAAATTGTACGCACATTTACTATGAAAGGGGAACTCGAGCACGACACGATTATTGCCCGCTTATTTAGTTCCAAAATAGACTTTGCACAAAGTAGTGTGATACTACTTCTTTCTCATCTATTTCAACCGACAAGCAGCTTGTTTTGTAAGCTGTTTTCCGGGATGAGTTTCGGCAGTGAAATAACAGGGTAAGCGGGCTGAAAGCCTAGTTCTCAGGAATGGCGTGTGACATGAAGACTTATGTCCTCAGTGCTGTTCCTGTATATTGGCGACTGGTACTACTTACAATCAGTTAAGTTACTATAATTTCACGATATTAACTAGTTTATTACAGGATTTACATTACATCCTCTGATAAATTACCTTACCTTAGATTATAATTTATTTATATTCACTTACATACTATTTCCCAATAGGGGATGTAAAGGTTTTGCCTGATTGATTATCAACGAAGGGTCGAAGCACCCAATTTTCCAAGGTAAATTTGCCCCAGCCTCAAAACGAGAAGTATTAAAACTAAAGCTATTCACATTATACAAGTTCACTTCTAAATAATGTAAGAATGAATATATAAACATAAATGTGTCCGTCAAAACTCAACTCGAAATTTAATTACGATTTTAAATAGATATTCGCAGATGCACAACATATCTACTATACATACATCTATGCAAAGGAAAATTATAATTAGTTATTTATATAGATAAAACGTTAGTCACTTACACATGTCAAAGTTCGGCTAGTCACTACAATTAAGATGAACAAGAAACTCAACTGTTACACCTGTTTTAATAACATAAGTATAATGTTTTAATATCTGATTAAAATAGACGTATATTATATTTAATATATTATATACCTAATCTTTACAAAAGATTATAGTTTGTATAGATTTTATCTATATACATTTTTCTGGAACCTTCTATATTATTTATGATTCTGATGATGACGACATCACTGAAGAAATTGTCAACAATTTGAATGTTTCACAAAAGAACAATAGTCGGTAATATGCCTCCAACTATTGTATTAATTTCTGAAGTTAGATAAACTATGCTACTACCTATTTATTATTTCAGTTAACACATTGCTTTATATTAAACCTTTACCTTATTCGAATACTTTATTACTACAAAAAGGAATATAGATCCATAAACTTTTTATTTTGAATTTTGATCGGAACTAAATATTACACACCTACGTAGTAAAAGTTTAATCGATTATTTTTATTTTTTATATCTGCTTATATAAAATAACAATATTATATATTTTAAATCATTTTCGAAAATATTATTTACAAGAATAAACATGTATCTTAGATTTATCATTATTTAAACATGTTGTAGTTGAATAGAATTGTAATCCAATATTATAACAAGTGATATGACAAGACCATCTTTGTCATGCGTTCAATAAAATCAGCTGTCATTTGGCACTATTAATATTAACATATATCAATAACAAACAATCGGCCTGTAATCAACACCAAAATTAAAATTAATTGTGTGTGTGTGTGTGTGTATCCATGCCACAAATAAAATAATAAATATTACTAATATTATAAATTGGAAAGTGTATCTCTCTATCTTAATTATCTCTCTGTCTGTTTCTTTGTTACGTTTTTACGGCTAAAATGACTAAATTAACACTAGTAATAGCTATTTTTTTTGTTGTTGAGTAGTAGTTATCCGGTAATTTTACGATTGCCTAATCGTAAAATTACCGGATAAAAGTCATGACATCTTAGTCCTGTCGAATATAGGTATTTCGGATGTCACATGATATCCTTCATGTATAAAGTTGATGATTACCGCAATTAAAAGAGATATCCAGAAATTATGTAACTACATAACTTCTCTATTCAACCGTATAAAAATTAAAACCCCAAATTGAGTCACAATACTAATTATTTATACGGCAATAATTGAAAACCTGTGAAGTGTTAAACATGAATGATTCATAAATCAATCATTGACCCAAATGGAAAATTAACATTATTATTCAGTTGAATTGTACAACTTGTATTCCATTTCGAATGTAAAATTTTGTATTTATAGTTATATAAACCACACATACTACAAAAATATAATTAAGGAAAAAGAATTTTATTCTTGTATGTTTGTACCGATTAAACGCAAAAGCCACTGGATCAATTTCAAAAATTCTTTCACCATTACAATATTTACACTACTATTCATTACTAGAAAAAATATGAATACGGACTAAAACTTCAATAATGTAACTTAAGGTGTAAAAATATGTCTTCACATACGCTTTTATTGGAACTATTCGAATTCTATTGGCCGCAACTGGCCTTTACAGGAGCGGCTGAAAGTCAATCAGTTAGTCAGTCTCCTGCCTGATGGTTATGACTTTAGTTTGAGGGCACCGCTAGGAGTACAAACCTCGACTCAGGTCCTCCTAATTTTGATCCCCGTTTGAATTGGACGGCAGATCAATCAGAGGGGTGTAGAATAAGAAATGTATTCACTCTACATTTATGGCAATATACAGGTACTAGTAGGCATAGTATTTTTCCTGTATTTAAACGACTATCACTATTTTACATGAGGTGGGCTATTTACTTTCCTTTAATTTAAACTGGAATGGCAGTTCAAACTTAAAAAATATTGGTGGTACAAAGGAACTTTAAATTATAGCAGACTCTTAATTCAGATACTTTTGAGCGCTGATCTTACTTTATGCAATTAGTCTCTACAGTTTGAAAAACAAACACCACGGACATCATGTCATCATGTGACGCTTACGATATTCATTCCTAATGTAAAAGTTCATAATGAATAATGTAATTATTAGAATATTAAAATATCATACCTCGGTGCTATATAATTTGACTACTATATCTCACCATTCAACTGAAACTAATCTTATAAAGAAAGCTTCTTGGCGGCTAAACTAGGTAAAACCAGCATATGTCTGTTTCGATAAATAAATTTAAACATAATATGATTATTATGCCAATGGATGAAGTAACTCACCTAATATCATCGTCATCAGGATGATGATCCGCTGACATATCAACTCGAAGCCCGCCGAACGCTCTCGACGCGTGCCTCCGTCTTCTATCATTCCAAAGCCGCCTTTGTTCCCTTTCATTATCCTTCTGCATACCGAAAAAAGTCTTCGTCTCTCTCTTAAGGTAATCCCGTACGGTATGGGCTCGGCGTAATCTGACTCCATCTTCTTGGTCAGGTTGAGGTACGGTCTCTGGTGGCGGGTGGGAGAGGGGGGCGGGCGGCGCGGAAACGACTCGTGGCGGAGACGAAGGCGCGGGGTGGGGCGGGGCGGACGCTGGTGCAGGTGATGTGGTCTGACACGACAGCTGGGGTGCCAACAGCCCCGCGCTTGACCGCCTGCAACAAATGAACAAACAGTTTAGATATACATGTATGTATGAATTCCAACTAAGATCTAATTTTTGTTTCATATTTTTAGGCACCCGAGTTAGCTAATTTTACTATTTATAACTCAATAGCCTTAATTGTAAGGCTATTGAGTTATAAATAGTAGTATATTGTAGCATAAGGCTAATATAAACATAAAGTTACTATAGATAAAATTTGTAAGCTTTAATTATTAATTCGTTGAATATACGTTTCAATTGAAACGACTATACTAGAATCAAACACACTAACTTTTGATGTGTTCAACTACATATATATGTACGAGGTGGCAATAAATATAAATCATAAATAGAATATTATCATTACTAAGAAGTTACGCACAGTAATTGCGGATGAAGTTTGTCACGCTTTTCAAAAACAGTGTAATCTCCACGTGTTACCATTTAAGCTCCATTGTTTAAACTGCCGGCGCTTTTGTTCGTTGCCATAAAGGAATTATGGCGACCAGAGTTATGAGAGAATATTCAAAGATTTCATACGCTGAATATCTCGGCTTATTCAAATCTTTCGTAGACTTTGAAACGATATACAAACCAGATTAAATCGCTGAAATTTTCAGTTAATAGCTAACTCAGCGGAGATTATGTTTAATGGATTTGATCTGATGCTTTAAAAGACGGATTTATCTTTTTGTTGTTTCTATTTGGTGATAAAAAAATCATAAAATTCACTTTGATATTTGAAATTAATGTACAAGGTAGATAAAGCCTGACACCGGTGTGAGATATTTTGTGTGAAAAAGATGAAACTTCCTTTGTTGTCATCAACAGCTCTACATATGTTACCTTTTATAATTAAAATGTTTATATTTATTTGAAAGTAATTTAATTATAATCTTTGGCGCAGTAATTTTTTTTATGTTATATTTGTGTTTGAGCTTAGTCTTACATCACATGATGGAAAATGATAGCGAGAGCTAGGATGAAACGCGTTTACACTTAATCCTACCTATTACCGTTGAATTGAAGAGTCCGAGGTCATCATTGACTTTACACACATCGTACTAAGTTTTTTTAGGTACCTATATTATTTACTTATAGTTATTAATGTTACATTTCTTTTTAGTATTTCTCATTTTCAAACGAGCAAATAATTAAAATGTTAAACTAATAGTTATTTCTTCTTATAACTGTTAATTGGGTAAAGAATACCTCCATCAATCTATTGTAGATATCAGAAATATTTGTTTTTATACATGTTAAGCATCGACAGACATTATTATATGAACCATTTGAGTTATTGTTTTAAATTGTAATATTGTTTGTTAAAGTGTGATAATAAAAACTTAACATAATGTTTTCAAGAATATAAACAGTTTAAACCAATGTAAACAGAAACAATTTTTAATCTATACCGCCTACCGACTACAAAATATATTCGCAATTATCGTACAATTTTGTTCAGAACAATAAATTATAAATATCAGTAGACAATAATCGGTCCCCAGTAGTAATACGCTAGATACGATCGAACTTTAAAATATTGCGACATTGCTGTGTTCTATATTCGATGAGAATTTACTTTAGTCGGCTTTTATTACAGGCGACATTAGCATAAATTAAACAAAATAAATGATTACTACAGATTCAATACAATATAAATATAACTTAAGTAGTTAATATTCTAAATTTGTAAAGTTATTTTACAGGACTCCATCAGGTGAACACCTGATGGAAAACGATAACCGCCTATATATATGAAAGCACTACAGGCATCATGTTATCATGTGACAGTCATAAGTGTAATACGCAATTATACATGAGTTGTCATTCCAGAGGACTGAGATGTAATGCATCTTATCCGGTAATTTCACTACCTAATATAAACCTATAACCAAAACAAAGCTTACAAAGGAATCTACGAAGCGTTAGAAATACCTATATTAGACCTTTTTACTAAACTAAACTTTTTATTATATTGACTGCACATATAGAAATATGATTAACGAATGAAAAAATTGCGGCATGCAGAACAAATTTTGACACAATCAAAATTATATCCACGCTTAATGCCACAGGGCGTTTATTAAATAATATATGTGCATATATATTACTTTAATTCCATTGTGGATTCCAGATATATGAAATGAAATAACGTAAAAGCTAATAACATAAACGAACGAACTATAAACCTAATTTAATTTTAAATAACATGTACAACATTCATCAAACTATTTGTAACATAATAAATGTATAGTTAAATGTAGCTAATATTTCATATAAATATCTTTGATATATGTATTATACAAAGAAAGCATAATATTAAACATGGCAACACCAGGTGTGAGGATCGAGCTGGCAATAATTTGCAAGCGAAGCGGTGCACGTAAATCAAGATATAGCACTCGGTAGCTAAGCAATGTCTTTGATAAATATACCTTATTATTGTGTCGCGTAGGTGACGCTGTTCTATAACGCTATTTGGGATAATAATGTAATACGTAATATTTTTGATGTAGATATTTGACATAGTCCATATATGCATATTATAATATAAATGAGAAAGTATTCTCTGCGTGTTACCTTTAGAGGACTATCTGCTCAACGGTTCCTAATAAAATTTCGAATATCATGAGAATGGACATTAGCTACTGCTATTATATCAAATAATAACTGGGAAAAGAGTGAAACAGAAGATGAAAGATCGGTTTCGGTGTTTCCTAAATATATTATGTAAGAATATGTAGTGAATTTACAAAAAAAAATTTCACTGTATTTATATGAGTTGTCTTCTACACATAATACAAGTTCAGCTTAGCTTGAAATGTGTGAGTCGTCCTGAGATTTTATACTATATGTATAATTTATTTTATTATTATACCTATATATCACATGTTTATTTAAAGTTAGTCTGATTTTACTTTTAACTTCATTTGTACTCCTGACAACTCACTCTCACTCATCTCATAATGCCATATATACTCGTATCTACTACAAATTTTACGATGATTAATTGAAGGATTTAGCCGCAAGACCAAGATAAGCCGCTAAGTTCGAGTAATTGTCAATAACATATAAATGATACGTACAGATAATTAGTGCATGTATATAAATTACTTATTTTTACTAAGCTATCAATTATCACGTTTATACCGTAAAAGTGGTAGCAAACTTACAAATTTATTAATGAAGAATTTATTGACAAAATATGATTAGGCTCCCGTGAATTTGTTATTATGTGTCTCAAAATAAATAGCTAATATTAGTAGCAGATAAGTTATTTAGAAATTGTTAAACCGCACTCAACACATATCTTACCTCGACTCTGATATTACCATTCTGAAGAACTAAGTATAATGCCTTCGTAATTTCACTGCCACAGCTCGACCTCCGACCGAAACATAGCTTACGAATAAAATGCTTAGCGGCGGAAATAGGTGAGACAGAAGCACCCACGTAGACAACTTTGTGCTAAGTCTAATCTAGGTAAAGTTTGCGCACATAATAAAATATTTACGTTAATTGTGTGTTAAATCAGCTAATATTTCAACACGGTTATATTCGCCACGGATCGACTGTAAATGGCGATAGATATAAGCGCTTCGCTTTGTTTGTTCTACCAAATGTACAACGGACTGTGTTCTGAGAAAAGGTAGCCCTAGACATCGTATCGAACAATTATGATGCCTAGGGCTACCTTTTACCATCGCACCACTCGCCATGAAAAGGGATGTGAGTGGTGTCGAATAGTGCATTTTCAGAGGAGCCTCCTCCCGTGTACACTTAGATTATGGAATAACTACAGAGGTTTTCTCACGAGACTACAGAATGGAGTTTTTCAAGAAGCGTATATTAAGGTTCCGTAAGGGTCGACAACGCGCACGTGACAGCCCTGTTGTCTCTGGCGTCAGGCTACAGTAACCATTTACCATCAGATGGGCCACAAGGATGTTTGCCACCATCGTACTATAAAAAAATATAAACTATTATTACGAGTAGACAAATCTGCCTACCCGGTTTCCTAGTCGTTTTCTACGTAGAGATAAAAGGCCACTATCGTCACTAGGAAACACTTCATATCCACGCTACTACTCTAACATTCACTGTAATATTTCGACTTTTTATTAATATACATACATGAGTAGCTGGGTGTGGATTTATTTTTTGGGATATCTTTTTTATGTAAAATGAACGGCAAACAACCGATGTCCCACTCAATGGTAATTTGTGAACAATATATCTATTTGTGTCTATATAGACACGAATTTAGTGTTATTCGATGTATGTCGTTCGTTAAAATTTTGGTATTTGTAGATTTCAATAATCTCTTTCACTATCATTAGAAACACTTTAACGTTATAAAAATCTATACCCTAATTAGTTGTGTAATGTTAGTTATTTAATATTATTAACCAGAATAATGTGTGAACGATAATTGTAGCTTGTTTAGCAATGTGAGATTAATATAAGATGGAAGTTCGCTCATGTCAACCAAACAATAATGGAGACAGTATCACTAGTGTTCCGAACTGATCGCTATTCCAAGAGCATGTTCAATTACGGTATATTGGTGGTTGGTTATATTTATTAATGCTAAATTCTGTTAGAATAATATCAGATATGTATATACCGCTTACAAAATGAATTAAAATTATCTGTTAAATATAATTTTAAATGTTTTTAAAAAAAAAATCATTCCTTTTCTATAAAAGAAGAATCAGTTTCTTCTCCATTCGTCTTTTGCGAAATCTTTCAGGTATTCTATTGTATCTTGATGATGATGCTGTACTTTAGTAAGATTTTTAGTGTTCTTAAAATTATTAGATAGATAGAATGTACTTTATTTGCAATATACAGTAAAGAAGAAGCATAAACAATATAACAAAGGACACATGTATCATTAGCTTTGAGCAGTAAGGCGGCCTTATTGCTCGAAGCTTATTTATTGAAAATCCCGCGTGAATAAAGTAAAGTACTTATCATTACATAGGTTAAAATAAAGTCGCTGTC